TTAAAGGCAAGCTTTCAAGAAAGCATATATTTGCGCAACATGTCTATATCTTTGAGGTCCTTTACATAAAAGATCGAAACTATAGTGCGGCAGGCAAGTCGGTGGGGTATCGGTGGTGATTGCTGCATAAGAGACGGAGAAAGCCAGAGCCAAATGATAAGTGAAGGAGTACTTTCAGGCGATAGATATAAGCAAGGAGACGGGTGAATATTCATTGTACTTACGGTGAAGTACTTTAAAAATTATTAGAGAAAATGGTGTCAGCCTGGGGACAGGTTATACGCAGGTGACATAGCCAGGTACTTGAGGTAGTAGACACATAAGTGTGGAGCTACAGTGTGAAAGGTGAATCGATGGAGCATCGGAGGTAAGTGACCCATAAGGGGAGAGGAAAGCCAGAGCCACAGTAATAATTGAACAAATGAGGCTAGGCGGTCTTCATATCCTAATACAGCAAAAGCGGCAGTGCTACAATGTGAAATGAAGGTGGCTGGAAAATAGTAGGTAGGTGTTGAATACGAAAAGTGGAAATCCAGAGCCAAACCGTTCCAAGAAATAGTAGGAATGGACGATGGTAACAAGCGAGAGGAAGAGGACATATTCAACGTTGTTGTGGCACGTAGGTGAACAATTATGGGAGATAACGGTGTCAACTTACCGGCAAGGATATAAGTGGGCAACACAATGCGCAAAAATACTAAGCTACAGTGTGCACGGTAAGTCGTTGAAGCATCAGATATAAGTGGTCCATAGGCAGTGAGGAAAAGCGGAGCCAAAGATATAAATAAAGAAGTAGGCAGAGTCAATGGATAGGCAGGCATCCTAACCAGACAATTAAGTTCCAAAGCACAACCGTGCGGAGCTACAGTGTGATGTGAATGTTGCTGGAACATCGTAGGTAGGTAGTGCAGGTGAGGAGAGGAAAGCCAAAGCCAAAACATTAAAAGGATTAGTAGGAATAGGCGATGGATATAAGGGTGATGAAGAGAGAATATTAAAAGTGGTTGTGTTTCATAGGTGAACACAATCCATCTTCAACTTGCTTCCTAGCCCTTTTCTCGTCTTTCTTCTACACTCATAACTGGCTCTTGATTTCCTCTCCTATGATTGAACACCAACCTCCAATGCTCCGCCGGCTTACCTGCCACACCGTAGACTTGCACTGGTTTGTGTAGGATCTTAAGTATCGGGCTATGTTACTCACTTATATCCCTATCTTTAAGCTGACATCATTATCTATTATACTTGTTACCCTATGGACTATGACACAATGAATATTCACCTTTCATCTCTTTCCCATTTATCACATACGCCTACTACTTCTTTTACCTGTTTGGCTTTAGCTTTCCTTTCCACCTATGCACCACCTAACTTCGATAAACCAACGACCTACCTTTCACACTGTAGCTCGGCAATTTTATGCGCAGGACCTCAAGTATTTGGCTATGTTGCCTGTCTGTCCCTCCTCACGTCCTACTTCTTCTCTTATCTCGTTTGCTCTGACTTTCATTCGCGCTTATACACCACTAATTTCTTTTGCTATACCGACTCATATTTGACATTGTAGCTCTTCGCTTTTGTGGGGGGTTGGCAAGCAGCTAGGTATGTTGCCAGCCTTTACCCTTACTTCCAAGCTGACATCGATAGCACGGATAACTTTTCTATATTAACCGTAAACGAAACTGCATTGTCCATCTTTACCCTGCTTCGTTTTTCTTGGCTCTCCATACTCCCCAACTTCTCTCTTTGGCTCTGGCTTTTTTCACCCCGCGCTGCAGCGTTCCTATACACCTTGATTCCTAGCCCTTGTCTCGTCAGGCTTCTTTGCTTATCTCTTTTGCTCCAAATTTTCTCTTTCCTTATGGACCACCTACCTGCGATGCTCCACCGAGTTAGTTACCACACTGTAGCTCCGCACCTTTGTGCGCAGGACGTTAAGCTTTAGATTTTCTTGCACACCGTTATCCTTCTTCGCAGCTTCACATTGATAACACTAATATTTGTTCCTATATTTAACCATGACAACACTTCAGATCCTCTTATCACTTTGCTTCCTATCCTTGTCCTACTTCTTCACTTATCTGTTTTGCTCTGGCTTTCCTCTTTCCTTATAGACCACCTTCCTCCAAAGCTACACCGACTTACCTGCAACACTTTAGCTCCGCACTTTGGGGCGTAGGAGCGCAAGTAGCTTGTTCCTTTAATGCACGGCCCCTACTCTTAGCCGACTGCTCAAAAGTCCAAACCCCTTAATCTTTCGAACAAAAGCGGGCTGTGTTTCATCATAAATCTGGCTCTAACACTCATACTTATCTGTCAATTTGTCTTACCTGGGACGCCGTAGAGCTCTACCTTCGAGGGGTTCATTAAGCCTCTTTTGGTGATGCTACCCATGGTATTACGCAACCCTGAGCTCATAGCTTCATTAGCTTTACTTGGTTAGCTTCCCTTCAGATACAACAGTAGTCCCTAAAACACCCACACGTCCCCTTTACTGACTTCGCGACAGTCCATTCTGTATAAACTCGCATTTAAGGTCGGTTGCTTTTACAAAGTTATCCACTTCCTGCTCTTTTTCTTCTTTACGTATTTTTGACTAACCTGTGACACCAACAGCTCCACCTTTGAGTGTTTCACTTAAACTTTTGGCACTGTTGACCCATATTATTTTACATCTGCAGCTTCATAGCATCGCTGGCTGTACTTCCCTCTCTTCCCTCCAGCTACAGCAACTGGTTCCTATAAATCACTGCCTTTAACCTTAACCGAATGCCCAATAGTCCATAGCCTTTAACCTTTCTGCCAAGAGCGGGCTCTGCCACGTCCTGGATCTAGTGAATACTTCTTCTGTTTTTTTTGTCAATTTGACTTATCTGTGCCTCGCAGAGCTCCACCCTCCAATGGTTTATTTAGTCTATTTGGTCGGTGCTGTCCATATGATTCTTCTTCGATAAGTTCATAGCAGCGCTGGATTTACTAGGCCGTTGTGCCTTCTGCTACGGCAATCGTCATTATATATTACCGCTCCTCGTCTTAACAGAAACAAACTGCGGAAAATTCAATTAATTTCCCAACAGCAGACTTTGCTGCACGAGTAATCCGGATCTTTCCCGCCCTGTTCTATGTGTCCATCCGACTAACTTTTGACACCGCACAGCTACAAATACGAGTAGTCCAATGACCTATTATGGTCCCGCTGCTACATTTTATTTCATATCTGCAGGTTTATAGCATTGCTGGATCTCCTATTGCATCTCCCGTTCAACTACCGACATTGCTTATGTAAAGCAACGCTCATTTTCTCAACTGACCGCTCGGCACTGTATGTTTAATACTCTCTTATCTAAGGTCGGATCCTTGTACATAATAAATCCCGAAACTACTCTCTATGTTATCACTGTCTATCTGACTTACTGTGACACAGTAGAGCTACACTTTCAGGAGGCTCACGTAATCTATTGTGGTGCCTCTGTGCCATTTTATTACAGTTAGCTTAACTGCTTAGCTGGCCTCGCCACGATATTTTACTGAAGCGTTTTGTCTAATTACTCACTGCTCCAATGAGATAGTCTATTTTGTCACAACTGTGTACTCCACCTACTTCACTTTGATGCACTTCACCACATTTCCTGACACCTAGTTGCTGTACAAGGGTTTCTATTCTCATCACCAATATTAGCAGTTCCACACAAACAGATTAAGCAATAGTTTATAGATCTACATGCAAAAGAGCTAAGATGCTTGGTAAAGCTAGAGGTCGCCAGCTCTCCTTACTTTCTTCTCAACGTTCGAAGTCCTTCTTTTCTGTGACCGTTTCTCTCCAGCCAGACCTGTATAGAATTGTTGCATAAACTTACCTGAACCGTTGGATCTATTAATACGACCTATACAATAAATTAATAAATATTTTATTCTCGACAAATCGAGGCACGCCTTTTGGGCATGATCTGCATATTACAATATTGTACACGAAAAATAAATAAATAACCATTTGTTCTCGGCTATGCGACGCATGCCCGCGACGGCATGGTCAAATAAGTGCAATTATACAGACATATCATGGCAATTGTAAAAGTGGCAATCGGAGATTGTTCAGACGTTCCTATTTGAAACCGTACGAATATGACAGAAATAAAAATGAAGAAAGCCCATTGTCGTGAGTTCGGGTACGTTCGTGTGGGCACAGTCGGTCTGCCATAAAGTGCAGTAACAATTCAGGCAATAATAGATCAAGAACTGGAACTGATTAGTTAGAAAAGAGCCGGTGAAGAACACGCTCAGTCGCGATTACACGATACGCTGGGGTCATATGAGTGTAGCGTAAAGAATAAGGGTGAATGCGCAGAAAAAGGCGCAGCGACGAAATGTGCAGATAAGAAAGTGCCGGGGCGCATCAAACGTTGTAGTATGTAGTCCTGGTCAGCCTGTCAGTTTGAGCTTATTGGCTGTGACTTTATTTAGTGATGGGTCACCTCCGCTACGTCACAGTGTTGTTAAACGGTCTTTGTGGCTTTTTATTGGGAGAACGCTTGCCAGGCGAAAACCCACTACGTCTTGGAACACTGCCATCGATGCGTTCGAACAACAAGCTGCAACTGGCAATGGACCGATTATTGGTGCCGTTAGTCGCATTTAGGATACACCCATAATTTTCTCTGGCTGATGCATGATGGGCGCGAGACTGTAGCATCCCTGGGTCCTGTCACATCCTGACAAAATGGCACGGTCCGTACTGTAGGTAAACTATAAATCGAACATGTTGGAATGTTTTGTATTTTTCATCTGTAGCACTTCATAATGTCTCCCAGGGGTATCCAGTAATATCCAGTAATAGGTTGTTGAACCAATTATTAGAGAAAGGTGAATGACCAAACGCAATCGTTCAGGTCCGAAAAAGCTGCGAGTTCACCGGATTAATGAACCGGAACTCCTCTCAGGGTAGGTTTTGTTGATTGGGGACACTGGCATCCACGACTGCGTGGACGGTAAAAGTAGTGTGGGCTGCTCCTAAGGTGGTAAATAACAAGAATGTTAATAGTGCATAGGGTCGAACCCATTTGTTCTTGCCACAGTGAAAGTATTGTGTGTGAAAGCATTGTGTCGGGATATTTCCAACTTAGGTGCATAGCACAGGCAGGAAAACCTGCCCTCCGGTCAGACGAAATGTCCGAGTTGACATTCAATGTCAGCAAGTGAACTCAGAGTAAGAATTAGGTGAATAAGGCTTGAGCTGAACCCAGTTGTGCAGGCCTCGATATAGTGGCATCCATACAAGATAACCAATACGTGTTTTGTCCATCCGGTAAATAACAAGGCAGCGCAATAAATTATCCAACCATTTCCAGGTAAGGGAATATTGTGCTTGGTTGAAGTGTTGAGGTCACGACAGTAGACGTATCCTCGGTTTCTGGCCACCGGTTCTGTGGAAAGCCACACAAACAGACAACAACGATGCATCCGGAACTCAGAGAAAAAGAGCAGTCACAAAAGTGCATTCACTAATGAACCTCACCTTATATGTATCATTATAAACTAAATAGCTCAAGTACATGTGTTTCATAAAAATTTAGATTAGCCGTACCGTGAACAGTGACGCCTCATTGAACTGCGAGATGTCGGAGAGCGAGAAGCCGATCCGAAGGGTTTGGATTAGTTGCTAGTTTGCGACTAAGTCGTTTAATTAAGTAAGGAAGACTACTGGTGAGGATCAACGTTAGGAAAGAAATAAGCTGTGCTAAGAAAGCATAAGCAATGTCAGCAACATTTTGGGGGAAACAATGCTTTGGGTAGGCAACACCTGGATCATGTACGTCTCAGTATTATGGATGCAGTCAGAAAGCACAAATACCATCAGAAACGAATAGGTTAAGGCAAAACACAGAGCTGGGCATCCAGTTGAACAGCAATCAGAGGCTGAAATATGGAAAAGACGGAGTAGGGTTGAGAAAGGAAAGGTCAACGTGGCTTTTGAGGAAGTACGCGGTCCGTTAGAATAGCTGAACCAGGAATGGTACCGTCTCATAAGTCTGAGTGAATTCGGTGAGCAGCGGGCCAATCAAGCGAGACTGGTGTGGTCAACGCGTTGGGATTAGGACTTACAATAAAGGTAAGGAAACGGCTAGAACAATAAAGAGTGAAAAAATCTAGCAGGCCCTTGAGGTAGGGAAAACGTATATATGAGTCTGCAGAGTCTGTACCGCTGAAGTCTCAGTTACGCAAGAATAGTTAGAGCTAAACTGGCAAGTCAAGTGAGGCTAGATCACTGTAGGGCAGTAAAGCTGGCCGTCCGATTGAAAGAAGAAATGAAAACAGAAAGCGAAATAAGAAAAGTTTAGGGTCGGGGTGAGAAGGGTTTATTGACAAAGAGTGGTAAAGCCCACGAGCCTCTCCACGTATTGTAAACGGGACCATTAGGTCAGCTGAACCAAGAGAAGTGATGCCTCGGAAGTCAAAATGAATTTGGAGAGTATGAAGCTTATTAAGCGAGACTGAATTAATCGGCGCCTTGGGTTTAGGGCGTACAAGGAAGGTAAGAAAAAGGCTATAACACTAACGAGGGAACAAGTCTAGCAGTCCCTCAGAGTAGGTGTAACCGAGTTAAGGCTGCGGAGCCTGTACCTTTTAAGTCTCGGTAGCATGGGAGCGGTCAGTGAAAAACAGATTAGTCCGGTGTGACAAGCTCACGGCAGGGCAGTAACGCTGGCCGTCCGATTAAAAAAGGAATGAAAACAGAAAGCGAGATAAGGAAAGGTTAGGGTCGGGGTAAGAAGGGGTTATTGATAAAGAGTAGAGGAGCATGCGAGGCTTTCCAGGTGATGCAAACAAAATGTTGGGTCAGCCGAACCAAGGTTTGCAACTTCGAAGCACTCTGAGTGAACTCGGAACACAAGTGGCCGATCTGGTGATACTGGGTTGGTCGGCGCGTAGGAGCAGCACGTATAATAAAGGTAGGAAAAACGATCTAAACAGTAGAGAGTGAACGAGTCTGGCAGCCTCTCTGGGTAGGGGTACAAGAGCTGGAGACTGCATAGCGTATACCGTTTAAGTCTGGGTAGCATAGGAGTGCTCAGAGAGAAAGAAACTGTTCAGTGGGGCTAGATAACCGCAGGGCAGTGAGAGCTGGCACTCCGGTTAAAGAAGAATTGAAAACAGAGCGCGATAAAAAAATAGGTTAGGGTCAGGATGGGAAAGGTTCATTGTCGAAGGGTGGGAAAAGTCCACGAGGCTCTCCAGGTAGTTCAAAAGGATAGTGGAGTCAGCCGAACCAAGAGAAGTGACGTCTCAGATGTCTGATTGTATCCGGAGAGCAGGATGTTGATCGGGTATGACTTGATTAGTCGGCGCGTTTGCATAAGGACATATAGTAAAGGTGAGAAAAGAGCTAACAATAAGTGGTTGGCAAATCTAGCGGGCTCTAGGTGTAAGGGAAACATCGTGTCTAGTCTGCGGAGCGTATATCGCTTAAGTCTTAGTAGCAAAGTAGCAGGCAGAGAGAAACAGACTGGTCAAGTGAGACAACATCACGGCAAGACAGTAAAGCCGGTCGTCCGATTGTAAAGAAGAATGAAGGCAGAAAGGGACAGCTTGGACAGCTCGGACCGCTACCTCAGACATTCTGTTCCCTTGATATGCATCATCTAGCCGTTTGAGCAAAGGCGTGTAACTCATGTTCACTTTCGAAGCCGCCTCAAGAAAGCTTCATCTCCCTGCAACAGTTCAACTGACTAGCGGTGTCATAGCTTTGTGTTCCTTCCAGCTCGCAAGTGGCTCTTTTTTGTAGTAGGTCCTTCATTTGCTTGGCTTCAATATCTGATGAACACGTCACCCACCTCGCCAGTTTGGTCTGCCATCAATCCTAAGCCAATAGAAGATTAAATAATATGAAAGCCTTTTTATCCGTATATTCCGCTGTTTCAAAAAATTATGTTCAAGTTATTATTACCGCCGAACATCACCAAAAAATCTTCATCTCCCTGCAAAAGATCAACCTACCTGCGTTGCCATGGCGTCATTCTCCCTCCAACTCGTCAGTGGATAATTTCTCCTGGTTGCAACACGTTCGTCTGTTTGGCGTCAGGATCCGATGGATACGTTACCTACCTCGCCAGTGTGGTATTCAGCTTTTATACCTTGCGCATATATATTGTCTGTTCTAGGCTACTGCGTTCGGTCATACATGACTCCATAAACCAAAGCAAGCTTCTCCATTGTACGAAACCTCTTCTCAAAAAGCTTTAGCTCCATGCAAGCGTCCCATGTACCTGCGATAGTTATCTTTCGTGGACCCTTCAGCGACACCCATATGGCCGGTGGGGTATTTGCTCAGAAAATGCTACGGCTAATGAGTGGAGTTCCATACTCACCTGCGTAACGAAGCATCCCAATTTACACCGTCCTATCTCCGACCAGTGCAGTCGGCCCCCAACCGTTAGTAGGAACCCTGACTAAGCTTTCGCTGAGCCAAAGAGAAATCAGGTACCATGACTGCGATTAGTCGTTCTGATAATAGGTCCTGCAAAAGCGTTACATGTGGCTCAATGCTATTCAAATTGTGGTAAATGGCAGTGTTCCAGGAGGTGGTGGATTTTCGCCTAGCGAGCGTTTTCCCTATAAAAGGCTACCAATGTATGTTTAAGGACACTGCAACGTGGCAGATACTACTCGCCACCGAAATAAAGTCAATGCCCTCCACTTCAAACGGAGACTGATCACAATATCCGATATTTGTCAGCACATGTTTATCAAACAGACTATCGGACTCCTACGCCTACGGAAAAACGGAGATCAATATCCGGACACATTCGAACTTTAACGCAGCACTTCCGTAACAGAAACATTTGGTGGCCCTACTGCGCCTCGGCGCCAAATTTCACTTTGACCACTGAACATGCCCCCAGTCCCTGCATCCTTCCTATGCAAAAGTATGTACAAGTTGCGAGCCATGTATTTGGTTAACACGTATATCTGTGTTGTGGTGTGCACACGCTTTTAGTGTTTCGGTGGCTCTGTCAAGCAATTGATCACGCCTGTACTAGCGTGTCTCCTTTCGTCGAAGTTATATATATCTTTAGCCTTGGCTTTCATTCCGTCTTACGCAACACCGGCCTGCGATTCTCCCCGGACTTACCTACCACACTGTATCTTCGCAATATTGGGCCTAGGACCGCAAGTATCTGGCTAAGTTGCCTACTTATATCCCTTCTGTCATAAGGACATCGTTCTCTATTATATTTGTTACCCAATGAACCACAACTGCATTGATTATTCGCTTTCATCGCGCTTCCATTTATCACCTATTCTTACTTACCCTCTAGACGGTTTAGCTTTGGCTTCCTCTCTCATTATGGACAACGTCCCACCGATGCTCCATCGCCATACCTGCCATATTATAGCTCTGCTTTTATGTGCGCCGGACCACAAGTATCTGGCTACATGGCCTAACTATATCTTCATATCCATCAGCCTCTTTATTAAACTATTTGGCCCTGGAATTCCTCCCCCTTCTGACCACTTACCTCCGATGCTCCAACGACTTACCTGCCCTACTGTGACTCCCCACGTACGTGCGCAGGACATCAAGCAGCAGGCTGTGTTGCCCACGTATATCCTTATCGCTAAGGTGCTATCGTTCTCTCTTATATTTGTTACCCTACGAACCACAACCACATTAATATTTCTCTCCTTATCGGTTACGTTTGTTGCCTATTCCCTTCTTCTATTCCCTTCTTTTACTTGTTTGGCTCTGGCTTTGTTCTTCCGCTAGGCAGCAACTGCCCATGATGCTCATCGATTCAGCTTTCACACTATAGCACCGCACATTTCTGCGTAGGAAAGCAAGTACCTGGCTGTGTTACCTGCGTATAACCTATCCTCAGGCTGACTTCATTTTCTCTAATAATTTTTACCTCACTTCGCCGTAAGGTCAATGACTATACTCCATTCACCGCGATTATATTCAAATCTGAGCCTACTCCTTTACTTATCTCTTTGGCTCTGGCTTTCTCCGTCTCTTATGCTGCAATCACCACCGATACCCCACCGACTTGTCTTTCACAAGTTATCTTTACATTTTTGGGCGCAGGGCTGCAGGTATTTAGATGTGCTGCGCACACATAAGACTTTCCGCAAGCTGGCCTTTAATATCCTTAATAACATTCCCGTAGTAAACCATAAGAATACTGCAGACACCCTCTTTAACTTGCTTCATTTCACTTGCCTAGTCTTGCATCTACGCTTATGTCATTGGCTCTGGCTTTCTCCCGCGTTATTGACCACTTGCCTCCAAAGCCCCACCGACTAAACTTTGTCATTTTAGCCCCGCCCGTTTGTACGTAGGGCCTCAACGATTTGACTATGCTGACTGCGTACAACCTTACTCTAAAGCTGACATCGGGTTCTCTACTTATTGTTCATTTTGTTTGCCATAACAACCATGCATTCTCTCTCTTTACGCCTCG